CTTTACTCCATTCACGTTATCACGGTCAACTCTACTTTAAGGAGGCAGCTCTTCCTCATTCGCATTTTGAGTGCCTTCCAACTTGAGGGGCTCATTTTCCGGCACTATATCTGACAGTGTTTCTCTGCTATTCATAAGGTTTTCAGTGACTAAATATTCGGAAGTAGTTCATCACTCTTTCTTCCCAGTCTGTCTTTGTCTGGAAGCTCATCTGAAACCTGTCCACCATGGGTGACCCTGCTGGTTTTTTAAAAATATCAGTGGAATAGCTTTCAGAATCACAGCAACTCACAACTGACAGACGAGTGGTGGCCATTTGGTTTTAAATGGAAAGTGTCACTTTAAATTTCGAGGAGATCTGTGCACATGCGAGTAGTAGAACCCTCCAGGGGAGGGGGTGGGGTGTCCATTTGCTCAGGCACCCCTATAGTCACCAGAATGGAGGTGTGCAGACACCTGTAAGTCAGAACAAATCATATATTTAATAAAGGACCCCTGGTGGTGTATTGGGCTAGTAACCACAAGGTTAGCAATTCAAAACCACTAGCTGCTTCAAGGGAGAAAGACGAAGCTGCCTAACCCTATAAAAATGTACAGTCTCAGAAGCCCTGTGTAGGGTCATTATGGTTGAAACAGACTCAGTGGCAGTGGGGGTCATTTTTTAGGCCTTTGACATGAAAAAGGAGCACAGCTCTGGGGGAGGAAGATGAGGTAGTCTGCCTCCTTAAATATTTCAAACCTCAGAAATCCTATGGGGCGATTCTTCCCTGTAGTACCACTATGAGTCAGAACCAACTTGGCGGCAGTGGGGTTGATTTGGTTTGGTGTGACAGGATATGACCGTTAGCAAGGAGTCTTGTGTTTCCTCTTGATACCAGTCACACAAGTGTGTATGAGCCTAGAGTAGACTTATAGATACTAACATTACCGATCTACTCTTTCCAAAACAGAAAAGAGAAAGCCCTCACTCAGAGTCACAGAAGATAACTGCTCCTTATGGTTTCCAAGGCTGCAGATCTCAACAGGGGCAGCCAGCCTCCTCTGTCTCCCGAGGAGCGGCTGGTGGGGTCGAACTGCTGGCCCTTTGGTTAGCAGCTTTAATCAGCTGAGCCAGATGAAGCTCAAACACAATGCGGGTAATCAGGTGAGGCAAGAATCACATGTGCCAGGCATGGTTCAAAGCACCTTTACATATGTTAATTTATTTAAAAATCCTTTTTTAGCAACCCCATGAGGTTAAAAGCACAACAGGCTGCCGCAGTGGTTAAGGAGCTTGGCAGCTAACCCAGAGGTTGGCAGTGGGAACCCACCGGCTGTTCCTTGGGAGGAAGATGTCACAGTCTGCTTCAGTAAAGATTTACAGCCTTGGAAACCCTATGGGGCAGTGCCGATCTGTCCTGTGGGGTTGTTAGGAGTAGGAATTAACTCAGTGGCAATGAGTTTGCTTGTTGGTTTGGGTAGCACGGTGGTTAAACACTCAGCTGCTATCCAAAAAGTTGGCAGTTCAAACCCACCCAACGGTTCTGCGGGAGAAAGACCTGGCGATCTGCTCCAGTAACGATTATAGTCTAGAAAACCCTATGGAAGAGTTCTCCTCTGTCACATGGTTAGTCAGAAACTGCTTGACAGCAACCCAACGACATGAGATGGGGATGTGAGGGGTCGGTGGTCCAGTGGTAGAATCCTTGCTTTCCATGCAAAAGACCTGGGTTCGATGTCCGGCCAGTACGCCTCTATCAATGGAGGCTGGTGTGTTGCTGTGAGGCCGAACAGGTTTCAGTGGAGCTTTCAGACTACGATGGACTAGGAAGAAAGGCCTGGCTATCTACTTTTGAAAATCAGCCAATGAAAACACTGTGGGTCACAACAGTCCACTCAGCAGCTGGCCTTGGGGATGGCGCAGAACCAGGCAGCATTTGTTCCACTGAGCACAGAGTCTCTCATGGACACTCAGCAGTGACTGACACCAACCACCAGCAGCTCTTGACAGATGGAAAAAATGAGACCAAATTTGGCGCCTTCCCCCTGGTCTCGCAGCCTGTCAGTGGCAGGGACAGAATCAGTGTGGCTCCCGCATCTGTGCTGTGCTTAGCGCCTCCAGCTTTTCATACTGGTTTCCAGAGCCAGGTGGTCAGGTGGAAAGAACTGGCAGTAACGGGACTGGATTGACCAGCCAGGTGAACCTGAGCAAGCAGCCTCCCCGCTCTCAATCTCATTTTTGCTTACTTGCAAAATGGGAATATTAATATCTGAATAAGGGAAACTGTGGAAGAACTGATGCATTTGAGTTATAGTGTTGGAGGAGGATACTAAGTGTCTTGGGCTGCCAAAAGAACCAACAGATCTGTGTTGGAAGAAGTACAGCCAGAGTGTTCCTTACAAGCCAAGATGGCCAGACTTCATCTCTCATACTTTGGACATATTATCAGGAGAGACCAGTCCCTGGAGATGGGCATCATGCTTGGTAAAGTGGAGAGTCAGCAAAATAGAGGAAGACCCTCAATGAGATGCATTGGCCCAGTAGCAGCAGCAATGGGCTCAAATTTAGCAACGATTGTGAGATTGGTGCAGGACCGGGCAGTGTTTCATTCTGTTGTGTGTAGAGTCGCTATGAGTTGGTACTGACTCAATGGCACTAGACAACAATGTTGGCCTTTGAGGATGCTGTGTGGATCTATTGAAAAAGTAGCATCGGTGGACTTAGACAATTCTGGTGTGTTCTTTGAGATAATGGTGTTGTTGGTGAATGAAATCAAGTTAATTCCAACTCATAGTGACCCCATGTGACAGAATACAACCCACCCCCCGCTCTCTCTTCCCTACCCCCTGCCATAGAGTTTTTAGGAGTCCTGGTGTGGTGCTGTGGGTTAAAGCCCTGGACTGCAAGGTCAGTTTGAACTGCAAGGTCAGTGGTTTAAACTCCTCAGAAACCCTATACAGGGTCACTGTGAATTGGAACCAACTCAATGGCACTTAACAACAACAACAACCAATTTTTATAGAAGCAGATCACCAGAGCTTTCTTCTGCCGACATGCTGGGTGAGTTCAAACCACCAAGGGTTTCTTCTATAAATTATAGCTATTGTCATTATCATTAACCAATTTTTTTTTTTTTTTTAAATAAGCACCACTGAGCAGACTCTGACTCATGGCAACCCCATATGTGACAGTGTACAACTGTGATCTTTGACGTTGTCAGTGGCTGATTTTCCAGAAAGTAGATTACCAGGCCTTTCTTCTGAGGTACCTCTGGGAGGACTCAAACATCCAGCCTCTTGTTTAGCAGCCGAATTAATTGTATAATCCGTTTCCCTCTCTTGAACTTGGCTCTGTCTCAGATCGGTGTTGCTGGGCTGAGAGTCCAAAGGTGGTTAGAGTGCACATTAAGGAGTCAGGTGTTCCCAGCGGCAGCTGCGCCTGGGGCCTTTGTGGACACAAAGATACGGCTTATGTTTGGATTGCATATCAAGCGGGTGTCACTGAAAGAACTTGTGTCTTTCTTTTCCACTAGTTCACCCTAAAACGTTTGGTTTCCCCAGCACCTCAATCAACATCAGTCATCAGAACCTTTCTGTCCAATTTAGAGGACACACTCGTGTGCTTTGCAGACCTAGACCGCCCCCCTCTGACTGTGTGTTGCCTCCTTCCACAGATCAGTGCCCTACAGAAAGGCTACAGCCAGGTGCTATGCCAGACCCTGTCCGAGCGGAACTCAGAAATCACCTCCCTGAAGAACGAGGGCGAGAACTTAAGGAGGGACAATGCCATCACCTCAGGTGAGCTCTTGCCAGAGTTGGGCCTGAAAGCTGCCATCCCTCCTTGGTTTGTGACCATGGCAGGCATCACCAATCAACCATCGCACTTCTTCTCACTGATCTGGGATACAGTCTGAGTGTTGGAAAAACAGAGTTCACCCTCCTGAGGGGCTTGTTTATGATTCAGTTCCTAGGACAGGGCCTGCCTGGCTCAGTGTCAGAATGCAGCAGGTATTGAAACAAATCTCTTAGCTAGACAGACTGAGAACCTACACCACCAGGGAGTAGTCCAGGCAGTCCCATAAGCCAGTTTGATGTGACTGTAAACACTGTCGTGGACAAAATGTGGTCACCACTCTAAGGCATCCATTTTTACCCCAATTCACTTGGGCCTGAGTGAGAACATTCTTCTAATTGACCGACAGAGGCAGTTTGATGCTAAAGTACTTGGGTGTGGAGATGGTCAGCCAGCTCCTGGTCCACCCCAAACAGGGCACAACTGTTTCTTCAGAGCCTAGATTCATCCTTTCACTTAACACTGTTACTGAGCAGCTACCAGCTCCTAGGCACTGTACTAGGCTCTAAGTATAGAGCCCTGAGCAAAATAGTCAAGACTCTTGTGTTTTAGGGCTTCCATTGAGGAGAGGGTGACAGAAAACAATGTAAACAGATAAACAAGCTAGTTTTAGGGAATAAGAGGTTCTGTGAAGAACATTCGGCTGGGCTGTGTGGTTGGGAGGTGCTTGAGGCCATGGGAGATAGCTTAGTGGATGAAGGTGGGATCTCTGAGGAAGTGGGGAAAAGCCAGCTAGGGGCCCCCAGAGTGGTAACTGAGGCAATGAATACCAGTGCAGAGGCCCTGAGGCTGGAACAGGGTTGATTTTTTGGAGTAGAGTGGACCAGGTGAGAGGGAGACCGGGCCCAGACACTGAGAGGGGTTAAGGTATTATTCTAAGTTGGAATGAAGTCCATTGGGGTTTTATTAAGTCGTAAATGACACATCTGGAGACCTGAGGAGGATGGCACCATCCATCAGTAGAGAAAGAAACAAATGAGGGAAGCAGATAATGTGGGGAGAAGACAATGAATCTGTTTGGGGCACAATGCTCTTAAAGTACCCCAGTGTGGAGCAGCGTGTGTGTCCAAGGCTATAAAAGCCCAACAGAGCAGGGAGCTAAACGTGACCCTCCAGTGGTCTCCATATGAATCCACGGGCTGTACCCAGGGTGCCTGACCATTACCTCCTCCTTTGCCTCAATCTGCAATTTCCCCCGCCAGGCTCTTTGAGAACTCATAAGATTCTTGGATATTTCTTGGGCATCTCCGGTGAACTCTTGTGTTGCTCTAGGTACCAAGAATATAGGGATGAACAGATTGAGCTGGGCCCCTACCTTCCTTCCCTGGGTTTGCTTGGTAAATCCCATCCATGCCTCAAGCCTTCTTAATTTCCACCTTCTCTAGGGAGGGGTTCTGACAGACCTGGGTTTGGGCATCACTTAGAATGAGCTAGACCCTTGCTGCTCAAAGTCTGGCCCCTGGTGTAGAGACAGCCACATTACCTGGATCCCTGTAAGAAACACAGTTTAGACTCTACCCCAGACCTCCTGAATCCGAGTCTGTGCTTTAACAAATGCCCAGGCATTTCATGTGCACATTCAAGTTTGAACTAGGCTGGGTTCTGCTGCTGTAACAAATCATCTCAGTGACTCATTTCTTGCTACCACATTGTGTCTAGCATGGGTCAGTAGGAGCTGTGCTCACTGAAGCCCCTCAGAGACCCAGGCCAACAGATGTCATGGCAACACTGGCCTCGGTGATGAGAGAGGGAGGGGAAACGTACAGCGCAGATGGAGGAATAAGAACCAGATTTACAACCAAAGAACAAAACAAAACAAAGCAAAAAAGCCCATAGACAAAGTAAATGAAATAATGATACATATATACAACAGTGACCCCAACAAGAGGGGAAACAAACCAGAGAAGCCCTATCATTGTCCCATCTAACTTCCTGGAGTCTCCAGATCACAGCCCGGGAGGGAGCCTCAGCAGAGCCCAGTGGTCTCCCTGGGTTGAGGAGATACTTGGGTTTACTAGAGAGGAGAGAGATGCACAGAGGCAGAGCGGGTTCCAGAAATCTGCATAGGATCCCCCTCAGGTCTGCAGCTGAGTATTCATCAGCACATGTGTGTGGGAGGGGAAAGCACCACTGGAAGGAGCGGCGGGAACCTTTTGGAAGCTCACACAGGGGCTGAGAAAACGTCACTTTCTCCACCCCAGACTGGTGTAACTTCTTAACGTATGGGCATCTGGTTGTCGTTGTTGTTGTTAGGTGCTGTTGAGTCAGTTCCAAATCTTAGAGACCTTAGACACAACAGAACAAAATACCACCAGGCCCTGCACCATCGTCACACTGTTGTTAGGGTTGGGACCATTGCCAGTCCGGCTCATTGGGGGTCTTCCTCTTTTTCAAAGACTTTACCAAAGGAGCCCTGGTACTATAGTGGAGAGCGAACTAGACTGTTAAATACAAGGTCTCTCCACAGGAGAAACATGAGGCTTTCTGCTCACACGAGGATTTACAGCCTCTGAAACACGATACAGGGTCGCTACAAGCTGTAACTGACTCGACTGCACACACCCATTACCCCCACCACTTTACTAAGCATGATGTCCTTCTCTAGGGACTAGTGCCGCTTCAGTAACAAGACCAACTAGAAGGTTACTCTGGAATCTCTGGGGGGTGCTGTTAACACACTTGGCTGCTAACCAAAAGGTTGGAGCACCTCAGAAGAAAGGCCTGGTGATCTACTTCTGAAAAACCAGCAACTGGAAACCCAGTGGAGCACAGTCTGGTCCGACACACATGGGGTTGCCATGAGTCAGAGGCTACTTGACAAGCTCTGGAAAGACTTTGTAGATCCCACCAAACAAAGCTTAAAGAAACCCCGCCCCATAAGGGATCCAACTGTTTCCAAGTAACTTAACTGTGTCCTAGGACAAAATTCATTTTTAAAGGGAAATGCTAGACCATATTGCCCTTTAATATATATACTTTCTTGATTGTTGTTGTTGTTCCGTGCCATCAAGTCGGTTCCAACTCATAGCAACTCTGTATAGGCTTTCCAGGGAGCGGCTGGTAGATTCAAACTGCCAACCTTGTGGTTCAAACCAACCTTGCAGTGCAGCGCTTTGTCCCACAGCGCCACCCCAGGACTCCACACCTTCTTGATTCAGACTTACTAATAAAACTGGGCCCAGTGTTCTTCCAAGATAAGAATCAAATGATAACCCATTGTTGTTATGTGCTGCCGAATCAGTACTGACCCATAGCCACCCTGTATCGGGTTTCCAAGGAGCAGCTGGTGAGCTTGAACCATAGACCTTGTGATTCAAACCCACTTGCAGCCCAGCGCATTAACCCACAGTGCCACACAAGGACACCTAATCCATTACCACTCCATTTATGTATCCTTCTTTCCCACTTTTCCTTGACATGCTACTATAAAAGGGTGTTAATTATCTATCACCACATAACAAATTACCCCAAAACTTAGTGGCTTATAACAATAAATGTTTATTATCTTAGCCAGTTCTTATGGGCCAAGAATTTTGGAATGATTTAGCTGGATGGTTCTGGTTTGTGGTTTGGGGCCGCTCATGAATTCTAGTCAAGCTGTTGGCTGGATGTTTACTCCTCTAAAACCTGGATGAGGACTGGAAGGTTCATTTTCAGGATAGCTTATTTACTTGCTATTGGCTGGAAGCTTCAGTTCCTCATCAGAATGTGCACTGTGACAAGAATCGAGTGCTTTCTGTGCACACTCAGGTGTGAGAAACACCGGGCTGTTGTTACGCAGCTGTAACAAATATGCCCAAATCACAGTGGGTTACAATAGCACAGGTGCATTTTCTTAGCTTGAGTGGCCTCACAACACGGCAGCTGAACCCTCCACCACACACCCCCAGTGCAAAGAGAAACTGCAATGTCTTTTATAAAGTCGCCAAGTCACATTCCATCACTTCTGCAACATGTTATTGGATACATGGGTCAGCTATTCAATGTAGGGGAAGACTGCTCAAGGGTGTGAAATAGTTTGAATCATTTTAGAAGCTTGCTACCACAGATTGTTGTTAAGTGCCGTCTGGTTCCTTCTGACTCATAGTGACCCTGTGTAAGATTTCCGAGGAGTAGCTGGTGGGTTTGAACCACTGACATTTTGGTTCACAGTCCAGTGCTGATCTAATAGCGCCACACTAGGAGTAACACCTAACAAACACTATGTGCTAGCCACCGTGGTAGTGGTGGTGGTGTGCCACCAAGTTGGTTCCGACTCACAGCACCCCTGTTTAGGATTTTCAAGGATGTAAATCTTTATGGGAGCAGAAAATTTCACCTTTCTCCCGAGTATTGACTGGTAGATTAGAACTGCTGACCTTGTAGTTAGAAGTCCAGCTTGTCATCCACTACGCTACTAAGGCTCCTTGCTAGTCACCTTACTAGGTTCTTCATACATTTGTTGTTGGTGTTAAGTGATGTCAAGTCGGTTGCGATCCATAGCGATTCTGTATAGGGTTTCTGAGGAGCAGCTGGTGAGCTTGAACCGCCAACCTTGTGGTTCAAACAGACCTTGTATTCCAGCTCATTAACCCACAGCGCCACACCAGGACTTTACACGTAGCATCTATTTTATTGTTGATGTTGTTAGGTGCCATCTAGTGGGTTCTGAGTCAGAGTGACCCCATGCCTGGTCCTGCGCCAGCCTCACAATCGCTGCTACATTTGAGTCCATTGTTGTTGCTCACGTGCCATTTTGTCTCATTGGGGGTCTCCCTCTTTTTCACTGTCCGTCCGCTTTACCAAGCCTGATATCCTTCTCCAGGGACTGGTGCCTCCTGATAATATATCTGAAGTATGAGAGACGAACTCTTGGCTTCTAAGGAGCATTCTGGCTGTACTTCTTCCAACACAGATTTGTTTGTTCTTATGGCAATCCATGGTACTTTAATCCCTAGGCTAACCC